TTTTGATGTAGCAGTGGCTAAAAGAGCACCCAGTGTGTCCCATTTTTTTTGCATATGACAATTACCTTTTTTTCAAGGATCGGGAGGAAGAATGTCAAAAGATTAAACAAATTCTTCAAAGCTAGCTATGAGGAGTGTTTGGGGCAAGAGGTGAATTATCAAAAGTCCTCAATTTTTTATATGCCTAATACCACATAGGAGAGGAGAAACTTTATTATTAATTTTTTGGGAGTGGATGAGGAAGAAGGACGTCCATCGGAAGAAAATGGATATTTTGCGATATTTGAAGGAGTGCATCATATGTAGAATTAATAGTTGGAGAAATAAATTTTTATCCAAGGCATGGAGAGAGATTATGCTGAAAATGGTTGTTCAGGTCATGCCCACTTAATTTGTTAAATTGTCAAAAAAAATCAGAAGTTTAATGAAAAGTTAAAAATAGTTACAAAACGTTCTATCTATAAATAAAATGTGTAAAATAAGATTAAAATGATTGGAAACTATGAAATAATATGAAAAGTAATCAGTGAAGAAATGAGTATTTCAAAATAATTTTGTCCATTCATAAAATATAATAAAAAATATAAAAAATAAGAAAATTAATGTAACATAAATGAGTGTAAACTTAAAAAACTCAGAAAAAAAATGTGAAAAACTAAAATAATGAATTTGAAAAAATACTAAAAAAAAAATAAAAATATGAATTTTGGAATGTAATATCTCTTAAATCACTTATTTATTTATAATTATTGTTATCAATCTATTATTAGTTTTTGTTTCTTGTTGTTTCTGTTTTATTATAACTCTAAAATTCTGGTTTTTTTATTGTTTCTTTATATTTCTAATTGTTTTTGTATATTCAGAATTATAAATTTATTATTTTAGGTGTTTGTATAAAGAGTTATATGGATATTTTTATTTTAAGAAAGTAAAGATGGTCATTTGAAAGCTAAAAACATCAAAATTTAAAGTAACAATAAATAATAAGCAACGCATTGCAACAAAAATAACATGATGCAACAAAATGTAATACGAAGTATGATGCAACTGAAGTAATACATGTGATATAACAAAAAGAAATAAAAAGCAATATATACACCAATCACAATAAATATAAAATGCAATCTATTATTCTTGTTTATTACATCAGTTTGGTCTCGCTTGTTATTTCTTTTTCCGAATGTCTCCCTTACTCATATTAGTGCTAGACGATGACACATTTTCGCTGCAAAATATCAATCTTTAAAGTGAAGGATAACATAATCATTATAAACCAGTGAACTATATAGGAGATAATGATCAACACTTCTTATCTAAATATTTTGCTTGATGTACAATTCTCAATTTGGATAAAATTGAACATAAAATGAACTATATATATAGAGCTGCAATGAAGGATTCCCAAGACTAAGTTAACTTTAAAGGGGTAAAACATTAAAATATGATATTGAATCTATTGATCTTACAATTCTCTATTTCTTACAGACTTTATTTGGATGTATAATCATGCTCATAATTCGATAACAAATTATATGCTTGATTTTTCACATAATAGTTTTGCAGATATTAACAAATTCCAAAAGAATATAGTACACAGTTACACACATGATGATCTAAAGATCTAAGGAAAAAGATATGAATTTCTAAGAGATCAAAAACACATGTTATTACTTGATCTCTAAAAATATGAAATACATAGTTCAAGAATCATATCAAATTCTAAAATTCCAAATGCTATTATGTAAATAAGTAAATTTAAAAATAAATTTCAGGTTTGTAATTAATGTCTAAATCAGTTAGAAAACTTAAGTTGTAAGCAATGAAGAATTAGAAATCCAATGAGAGTCATTTGCACTTGCTGCACACCGATCTTCGCTTGCCTCCCCTGCCTGCCACAGTTCTCGGAATTCTTCACATATCTTCTATTCATACCAAACAAGCAAAGAGAACCCATCAATGTAAATAGTGGGCTGAAGCCTGAAGGTGCAAATAATTGAGTGTTCCTGATAGATCTTAGCACCTAAGAACTCATATTTATAAAAATGCAATACCAACTTAAATCATCCCACTCCGGATTGATCAAATTGAAGCATCTAATATGAAGTTAAGGTATAATAAATCGTGGTAATCAAATCTAGAAACCCGGTTACTTTATGTGGAATCAATGAATTCCAACTTTTGGATTTTTAGTTCATGTATAAATGAATTTTGTCCACGATCTATGCTACAGAACATCAAAATATTCCTGTTAAGGATAACAACAGTTAATAACATCAAAATTTAAATCATTGTAAATAAAAATTGAGAAGATTTGAGTCAAAATGAGTCTAAACCACAACTACAACTTAGATGGAAAGTAATCTTGTCAATTCAAAACTTAAATTTAAAATCTTGGTGTGACAGTAATCGCAAAAGTACAGTAAAGATTGTTGGGTTGTTGGGTGTGTTTCGAAAAACTAAGAAAATAATTAATAAAATTAATTAAATAAAATGACTTAAATGAAAAACGAGAAATAAGATGAAGCAGAATAAGCCAAAGCTCGTGCCAAGCACGATTTCCTTAAAACGTATTCGTTGCCTCCCGGGGTGCTAGGAGCGTTGCAACGATCGTTTCCCAGGATACGATGACTTCGAACAATAGTTTAGCACTCAAACTAAAGTTCCAACGAACGGGAACAAGGCTTAGAACCCAGAAGGAATTTCGGAAACTGGAGGTGTTTTTCTAGAGCTCAAAAACTGTGTGAGTACGTTTGTGAGTGGTGTGATTTTGCAAATCACCTGCCAGCTACTTATAGGAAGGATTTGGAGGTGTGTTAATGGAGGTTCAATGGATATGAACGTTGGCAATCAATGTCCAGCTCGTTGTCATTGATTCGTCCAAAAAACCGCCCATTTATTGCAAAGGAACGTTGGGCATTTATGGCGTTGTAACGTCCCAACAGCTGTCTGCTGTGGAGCCAACTGCTCGCACGGAGCAGTAGCCTGCTGTGGAGCCAACTGCTCGCACAAAGCAGTAGCCTGCTGCAGAGCCAACTGCCGAGCCTACTGCGGACGTAGCAGTGGCCTGCTCCAACATGGAGCAAAAATTAGGAGACTAACGGAGGGACAAAAATTAACGTTTATTTTTAGAAGATAGAATTTTCGGACGACATTCGTGTCCGCAGGTCGCCCGCGCACGCAAGTCGGGCTTTTTGTTCTCCGGTTTCGGGATTTGATTCGTACCCCCTGCGCGCGTGGAGAGAGCCTTTACCCTAAGGAATCTTAACTCCTTAAGAGGGTTTCCCTTTATAAAGGGTTCAAATTCCCTTGGGTTTTCTGGTGTGGGAAAACCACACTAGAAACCCATCATTTTCCTAGTTTTCTCCATTCCAACGGGTAAACTTCGAAAAACGATTTCTCATTCACCCGTTATCCGTTTTGAGCGTACCATATATCGAATTGTAGCCCTAAGCAAGGACAATCCGAAACCACTTTGACCCGACCCAAATCGGAAGTGGACCCCACTCAAAAAATTGCCCCAAAATGGCCATTTAATGCAATTTTAACACACTTTTCCAACAAAGATTTCATAAAAATGATGTTTAATCACTATAGTCGGTGCAAGGACATCCTTACCAAGTCGTAAGACCTTTCCAGAATCGTCGACCTCGTAGAACTGTAAGCGAGCTAAATCTTCTAATAGCTTAATATTCTTCCGACTTGTGCAGATTTTCTTCTTGTGTCTCTTCACACCACCACAAAGGTAGATGATAAAGAGGAGGGCGGACTCTATCTCGATATTGTAGCCGATAGGAGTGCGACCGTCATCGAGCTGCCGCCTCTCGAAGAGGACCGAGCTTGTCTACTTGACTATCAATGTAGAGCTACATATTTGTGTCTGCGGTGTGTTTTGAATTTGGGGGTGTGATGGTTTTGAATTTGGGTGTTAGGAAGATGATCATTCTTAAAATTCAATTCTTGAAATATTAAAGACTAGTAATGAATAGAGGAAAGTCTAAAGAAATGAAATTGAGAACATAAAAGTGATTTAAATGGATAATTATCACTTTACATTCACCACAATATTAATTCTTATTTATGGTGGAGGTGAGCTTTCAAACGTGTTAAATCAATTATTAAACTTATTTGACCTTTTAGCATTTAGAGTTTTTATACAATTTTTTTTTTGCAGAAGTTTTTAAACAAAGCTCGTTCTTTAAATTTTATATTATAAAATACATGAATAAATCGTATAAAATATAATATATGTTAAAAATTACTTGGTGTAATATTATTAAGTGTACAATTGTCATTTAAGTATCAATATATGCAGAAAAGATCAGGTCCAGCCCTCTCCAGTCCAGCCGCCATCCGAACTCCGCCGTTTGGGGCGGTTCTCAGTGGAATTTTTTGATGATTTTTTTTGAGCATGTTCTTCATCAAGTCTAGTTTGTCCATACTAAATTTCAGCTCAAAATTCGATCGGGAAGGCATTCGAATCATTTTTTGAAGTTGACTGCATTTTTATACGTATATTTTGGCGCAGTCAAGTTCAAAAAATGATTTGAATATCTTCCCGATCGAATTTTGATCTGAAATTTGGTATGGACAAACTAGACTTGATGAGGAACATGCTCAAAAAAATTCATCAAAAAATTCCACCGGGAATCACCCCAAACGGCGGATTTCGGACGACGCCTCCCGTCCCTCCGGCTGGACCTGATCACTTCTCTCAATATATGTTTGACATTTTATTCTTTACTTTATCTGTCCGTGTTTATAGTCGTGTGAGAGATATTCTCACCATTGATACCAACGGATTGAAATAGAAAGTGCTTGTTAATCTTTCAAAAAAAAAAGTGCTTGTTAATGTCCATGAACAGTAAATAATCAAGGTAACTTTCTTCGGCATGTATGAATCGACTAGAAATCGAAGTACTCACTTTCTAAGCTCCATCCCTTTCAACAAGTGTCTATTCAAAACCCTAGCTTAGCTGTAGAACTTGGTGAAGGACATAATAATAAACACAGCTATTCTGCCGCTGAGGTAAGTTCTATTTGCATTCATTACCCTCAGATCTCAGCTAACCCGACGATCCATAACTCCCCGAAGAATCACTTTTCTGCTCCGCTATAAGCTCTGTTTTTCATTTAACATCCCCATTTCATTATTACACTTACGCTTTGCTTATGATTAGTGTGCTCTACCTTAACGTACTGAATATAAGTCAATAAATTGCAGCTGAATTAATTTAGCATTTTGTTATTGATAGAAAAAGACCGTATCTTTTGGTCAGGATTGAGCTCAGTATGGCTGGTCAAAGGAGTAGCTATGGTAAACGTTCTAATTCTCAGACACAATCTGAGTATGCAGAAAATAAAAGGAGAAACTCATTTGGGAGTGATAATAAAGAACGTACGTCCATTGATTCTGAGGACACAGTATATCGCTACCTCTGCCCTTTAAAGAAGATAGGAAGCATCATGGGAAGAGGGGGTGATATAATTAAGCAATTAAGGGCAGAAACCAAGTCCAAAATAAGAATTGGCGAGACTGTGCCTGGCTGTGATGAACGTGTTGTTACTATCTACAGCTCCAGCGAGGAAACTAATGAGCTTGATGGAGGTGGTGAGGGCCTTGTTTGTCCTGCCCATGATGCACTTCTCAAGGTTCATGATCGAGTGTCATATGAGGAGACTGGAGTTGATGATCACTACTCTGAGGAAGAGGGTCCCCAAGTGACTGCTAAGCTACTCGTACCGTCTGATCAGATAGGATGTATTATCGGTAAAGGTGGACAGATTGTTCAAAGTATTCGTAGTGAAACGGGTGCTCAGATTCGCATTTTGAAGGATAAACATCTTCCCGCGTGTGCCCTTGACTCAGACGAACTACTGCAGGTAATCATGATACCTAACTTCATGCACCTTTTCATTTGATCTTATTAAGCAATCTCATATAAAATAATATCACAAATGAACATATACGGTCCTGGACTACTTTGGGTTTATGATAGAATCAATGTCATAATAGGGCAATATGGTTTATTGATAGATGAGCACAGTATGATTAAATGACTAATTCGATCCTCAGCCTAATAATAAGAGCCCCCATACTTTTACTTATGTTCACTCTTACAGCTTAACTGTTTGCAAACATGTCAAGTCATCTTAGATCAAACAAATATATAAAGAATAGTAACACATAGTCACCATGGTTTGCTCCTTCTGTCATGTGCAACTTTTATTTATTGGAACCTCCAGCCTTAATAGATCGTTCAAATAATCTATGTGTTCGCTTTTATTTGGTATGTAGTGCTCATCGCTTTTCAGTTTTGACGAGTGATATATAACTATATAAGTGTTCTTAACTTACTCATTTGTTTGTTTATTTAATATTTTGGTATTGGGACTGGGTTCTGTTTTTTTTCATTTTTAGTGTTAGTTTCAGTGAAAGTTTCAAAATAGAGCATATTTAACAGCTTACTTATTTATGGTTTTATTGGGTATCAGATATCTGGAGAAATGCATGTGGTGAGCAAAGCTCTATATCAAGTCACGAGTCGGCTTCACAAGAATCCATCTCGATCCCAACACTTGCTTGCTTCATCTGCTTACCCACCTGGTGGTAGTTCACTGATGGGCCCCAGTCCAGGTGCTCAAATAGTGGGACTGGCACCACTAGCGGGCCCTTATGGCAGTTACAAAGATGAAGGTGGAGAATGGCCGCCAAGGTCTGTATATGCAGCTCCTAGACATGACTCGTCTCCAAAGGAGTTTATTCTACGTCTGGTATGCCCAAATGCAAATGTTGGAGGTGTAATCGGAAAAGGTGGGGCAACGATCAACCACATAAGGCAAGAGTCTAGGGCATCTATTAAAGTGGATAGCTCAATTGATGAAGGAGATGATTGCCTGATAGTTATTTCATCAAAAGAAGTAAACTTTCTTGTGTCCATGACTCCATGTATAGTCCCCCTATCCCTTTTTAGTTAGCAATGTTTGACTTTTCCAGTCAATGATGCTTAAATTTGACTGATAATATATTTTTATACGGTAGTATTTATAATTTGAAAATTATACGAAAATGTTCTTTGTTACAAATATTGTCATAAAAGTGTAAAATCTATAGATTTCGCAAAAAATATTTGTTATAATGATTGAGCAAAGTTTACTATCATTAACTAGAAAAGTCAAAGATGACTAACTAAAAAGGGACGGATGTAGTATGTTTTGAATACAAATTATTTAATTTAAATGTTAAAAATTTTTCGGTAATGCTTTCAAGCAGATTTTTGATGACACATACTCTCCAACAATAGAAGCGGCATTGCTCTTGCAACCCAGGTGCAGTGAAAAAGTGGAAAGAGATTCAGGCCTTTCTGTATATACCATACGCTTGCTTGTACCAAGCTCTTGTATAGGCTGTCTTATTGGGAAAGGTGGGTCCATAATTAATGAGCTTAGGAGAATCACCAAAGCTAATATTCGGGTCCTTTCGCGTGAAAGCCTTCCCAACATTGCTGCTGAAGATGATGAGATGGTCTTGGTAAGCATGTTTGTGCATTTCCTTCTAAAAAGATAAAGACACTCCTATATATTTAGTCAGTTATTAGATGTCAAAATACCTATCATGAATTTTATCCTTGAATAATATTTCCTCTGTTCAGAAAAGAATGCAACGTACAAACGGGCACAGAGATTAAGAAACTCAGCCATAGACATTTTCTTCCTATCTTACCCTCCGTTTTCTGAACTCTTGTCTGACAAATGCTGGCACCGTCTCTTTCCTTCAATTTCCCAAACTTTTCATCACCATTAATTCGTTTTAAAATCCTCCCTGTGTTGCTTAACTTCTTCGTCGTCTTCATAAGCAGACCAAGAACTAGAGTACAGCTAATTTAATTATTTTAGTTTCAATTTCCGATTTCTTTAATTCCATAATCTAGATTATGAATCTCCCTAAAAAGTACTGTAACTATGACTCTTTAAGATTCTTTAAAGAAGTGAGCCATGCTGTTAAGGATTTTAGAGTGGATCTCCAAAGAAAGCCAAAAAGATGAAAAGAAAGAAGGTAGTGGAGGAAAGAAATGAAAGAAGAAAAACGAGTGAAAAAAACAGTGAGAATGGGAGATACAAAAAATGACGAAGGGTGATGGGGGGAGGAAAGAAATGAGAAACTGAAAAAGAAAAAACATAGATGAACACATTATTTTTTGGCTTGAGAATATGATGGAATAAAGCAAAATGGCTCACTAAGCTGTCTGCGCTTCTTTGTTATGAAGCAGCAGTCAGTCCATGCAATTTTGGACGCGATTTTCACTACGGGTCATCCGGAAACAGTCTCTCTGTGCTTTAGTACAGGGGTAAGACTGCGTACATCCGACCCCCCCTTACCCCACCGTAGGTGGGAGCCTTTGCGGCACTGGGGTAAATGAAAAATGAAAATGGTGATGGGGGGAGGGAAGAAATGAGAAACTGAAAAAGAAAAAACATAGATGAACACATGAGTGTTGACTTTTGAGCAGGGCAAATAGTGTGTGGTGACGAGTGAATTGATAATATTTGGTGAGAGAGTGAGGATACTGATTTGGGGTGAAAGGGTATTATTGTCATTTTAGTTATTTAATATTACCATAAATGGAAGTGTTGCAATTATTTTGAAATTGCCAAAAGAGGAAAGTGTTGCATTTAATTAAGAACGAAGGAAGTGCTACATATATGTTTCTAGTGTTTGTAGTTTCACATTTTTGTTATTTTTTCTTACAGATAGAGCCTATTCTTTTGGACTTAATTCCTAGACCAAAACAGACATGACCATCATCATTACTTAATACTACGTACTTCCTCTGTTTTATAATAGTTGTAACATTGTAATTTTTACACTATTTGTTAGGTACCTAGCGAGATCTGAGTTTACACAGTAAAACAACAAGTGCAGATCTGATAGATTGATAGAGAAAATAGGGTTTATTGATAGGAATAGACTCAATCGTAAGCAACAGACGACGGGACTTAGGCAACAAGGGACTCTTCGGCAACAAGGCAACAATTCAGATAAAATGACAGACTCCTATTATTAGCTACCCACCTTACTATTTATAGTATTAAGTCCACGCAGGGACTGAAATAGACAAACAGACCCATTAACTGACCCCAGCCCAATTAATTGACCTCAACCCTTAAAATTCTCCTTTCAAATACCCTAATACTATACTGAATATGCAGATTCCTAACATTACTCCCCCCCTGAACAACCACCTTGCCCTCAAGGTGGGTGATAGGAGTCAGCAATGATCTTCCTCTTGCACTTCATTATTGCACTTCTCCCTTCCCAGTACCTCCCAGCTTGCTTGACCATGACCTTCATTACTTGACCTTTCATCTTCACATCTTTCACAGCAAACCGGAGCAAAAACTGGGTGTAAGAATTTCCTGGAATTACCCTTGAAGCCTCTTCCTTGTAACCCATCTCTTCATATAAAGGTTCTAAGGCAGACATGCTATGAGTTGCAGCTCGAAATGGATCAAAGAACAAACCAGTTTGAACCCTTACAAGAACACCCATACCAACTTCAACTGGTTGATCTATTCTCCGCTTCCCAGTAATTCCTTGTTGTATTATTTCTTTGATAATCCCCTCTATATCCTCTTTTTGGCCTTGGGGGTATCTATAAAACTTCAGGTTAGTTACTTCTACTCCCTCTTCAATGTTAATAGCATGGTCACACTTTCTAGGAGGAGGTAATCCTGGTCTGGGAATAAATACTTCAGAAAATTCTGCCATAATTCCTTCCCAATTGGAATCCTTCAGCTGATTTCCCTCTCCCTCCATTTTTCTGCCTTCCCAGTAGATAAGATAGCCATCACCAGCATCATGTACAATTTGTGACATGGTTTTTAGAGATACTTTCATAGATTTTGACTTCAGGTCCCCATGAATAGCCTGACTTAACCCCAGCTGATGCCATTTTATGCTCTGCTTTCGAAAATTGATCTCCACATCCCCCAATCCGGTCAACCAATCCATGCCGAGAACCAAGTCAGCTCCCTCCAACTCCAGCATGTAGAAATCTTGTTGAATGACAGCCCCCTGCAAGCTCAGAATTAATTGTTCACACCTGCCCTTGTTGAAGACCTTATCACCATTCCCAAGCTGCACCTTGTAGCCAGCAATGGTCTGATAAGGGAGGGTTAGCTGCTCTACCATTTTCTGAGATATGAAGTTGTGTGAGGCTCCACTATCAATTAGAACATCTACTGGCTTCTCTCCGTTAGCCCATTTCAGAATCCCTTGTACCCTAAAAGCCCTCATAGAGGGTGTTTCCTCCTGGTTCATGAAGGATAATTGCATGGACTTAGCTTCCATGGAGATCTTTTCATCTTCCGGGATTACCCCTTCTGAGTTATCTAATTCCTCTTCTCCTTCTGAATCTTCCACTAAAATCAGTTTGTAATTCTTCATTTTGCATGAGTGCTCTCTACCCCATCTTTCACCACATTTGAAACAAAGCCCCTTCCGGCTTCTTTCTTGGTATTCTTCTTGTGTTAGCTGTGGCCCAACTCTTCTTATGTCTGAGGGATTTATTTCTGTTCCTTTCTTCCCATCCGGAGTAAACCAAGGTGGGTTCCCCCAGTTGACTGGTGCATTCCTGCCACCAGTTGGTGGCCCTGAACTTCCAGGCTTGGAGTTATAGTCTTCACCCCATACTGGTTGCCTAAAGTACCGGGGTCCCTTGTCTTTACCCTCGCTTCTTTCTGCAGCTTTACCCTTAGTGTATATAGCATTATTCTTTTGCTCAATCGCTTGAGCCCTGTCCATGGTAGCAGCTAGAGATTTGCCATTGAAGAGTTTCAGTTCAGCCTTGATTTCATCCTTGAGGCCATTGATAAAAATACCTCTCAGCATACCCCTGTCTATGTTTTTCTGTGGAGCTGTAACCATTTCAAATTCATCCCGGTAGTCTGTTACAGTTCCAGTTTGTTTTAAGCTTAACATGGGTCCAAAAGGGTTATGTAACAAATCTGGTTGAAATCTGCGGATGACAGCATCCTTCAAATCTTCCCAAGTCCTTTCCTCCGACTGTTGTTCCCACCATTGGAACCAATTCAAAGCCCTATCCTCCATAGCCACGATTGCTACCTCTACCTTGTCTTCTTCCTCAGTTCTGTTCAATTTGAAGTAGCGTTCCATCCTCACTATCCAGTTGTAAGCACCTTCCCCATTAAACAAGGGTAGGTCCACCTTCCTCCCAGTGTGAACACGACGATGGGGAATGGGAGAGTGTACAGAGTTACCTCTCGAGAGCTCTGGGCTGTGTGGTGATCGCGATCGATGGTGATGTGATGATCGTGATTGACGGTGATGCGGAGAACGGTGATGCGGTGATCGCGATCTCCCTCTAGACGGGTCCCTCCTGTTCTGATAAGCTGCCATGGATGTCGCGATGCTGTTCTGGATTTGCTCATTCATCGCAACAGTGAGATTCGCGATGGTAGCTCTCATCTCCCGCTCAAAGGCTTCCACGCGTTGTTCCATTTTGGATCTCGTTTTTACCATCCACTTCAGAGAAAAAAAACTAGGTTGCAGTCGCTACCTCACAACGATGCTGAAACGATAGCTCTACTGCCGTCGCACTTCACTTGCGATCCCCAGGAGCAGTGATGCTCTGATACCAATGTTAGGTACCTAGCGAGATCTGAGTTTACACAGTAAAACAACAAGTGCAGATCTGATAGATTGATAGAGAAAATAGGGTTTATTGATAGGAATAGACTCAATCGTAAGCAACAGACGACGGGACTTAGGCAACAAGGGACTCTTCGGCAACAAGGCAACAATTCAGATAAAATGACAGACTCCTATTATTAGCTACCCACCTTACTATTTATAGTATTAAGTCCACGCAGGGACTGAAATAGACAAACAGACCCATTAACTGACCCCAGCCCAATTAATTGACCTCAACCCTTAAAATTCTCCTTTCAAATACCCTAATACTATACTGAATATGCAGATTCCTAACACTATTCACATACTTTGCTTTGACCATGAAATATAACTAATACGGAGTATATATAACAAAATTATTATGTATAAAATATTATTAAATTTCTTTTAATGTGAATTTCCATAATATTAACTTTTTTATAATATTCACTAATGCGTAATTAAATATAAATACAGTCATAGTTGTGCATTGGCATTTGGCAAGCGTGAAAGTCAAACCGTTGCAATTAATAAAGAACGGAGTTAGTATTATATTATTGTAACATTGATATTTTTACTAGAAATTTAATTATATTATTATGAATAGTATTATTAATAAAACAACAAAACAACTAATGTTATAAGTTATAATAATTTTCATATAATTATCACTGATACTATCAGAATCATTATCATTATTTTTAAATGATAATATTAATATAAAAACTAAATTACTTATTAAGATTTTCAATATTGATGTTATTATGATTGCATATACGGAGTAATTATTAGTGTTGTTTAAAAATGGCAATGTTCAAAGAGAATACGATTAACTTCGTTTTTAAATGATTGTATGAACAATACTTTTTGTGATATACATTACTTAGGCAGTATAAGAATACATTTGTTTCTTTTTAAATTCATCTTTTATAATGTTACTGTTATTATTTTAATATATTACTCCGTATTATTTATTAAAGTTATCATTATAAAATATAAATATAAACAAAAGGGTTTGTTTATTTAATAACTCTAAGGATGATATATTAGATGATTAGTAAAAATATATTCAATATGAACTAATTATGAAGTACATCACATAGTATCAAAACATTTAAACCAGACTAGAGAAAATCTGTCATATCTTTTACTGATCAGGCCCGATTGGAAAAAATCAGTCCTAGAGAACATGCATTTTAGACTGGTTTATTCCTCTGATTTGATCTGGTCTTCATCTTTTTATGGGATTCAATATAGTCCTAATCTAGCCCTCTTGTATATTCTACACAAGTAGAGTATTCTTCGTTGGTTTCACTAAATTAGTAAATATAGACCAAATTTAAGATTCATGTATAGTTGAGTGGTCCTTAACTGTGTAATTTGGATCCAATTTAGCAATTGGAAAATTACTTTTCTTGATTAAAGCAAAATATGCATGAAGACTAAGGATGATTTTAATTGGACTTAAATTTTCTTGTCTGGCCTGTTTAAATCTAGTCTGGTCTGTTCGGTTTAAATCTAGTTTGGTCTGGTCTCAGACTGAAACCAATCCAACTAAAAACATCCTAACTTAAGTGTAAATTATAGATTAGTGCATCGGATTGAGTCCAAAGTCAAGGGCCATAATGATTAATCATTAATGGCATAAAGTCGGATTAAACCAGGCGCTAAGTCTTTTATAGTATTATTATGATTCCATGAAAACTAATTTTCTGCTAGATTTCTGGAGAGCTTGATGTATCCAAGGATGCACTTGTTCAAGTAACATCACGCTTGAGGGCCAACCTTTTTGAAAGGGAGGGTGGTGTGTCTGCTGCTTTTGTGCCTCTTCCTTCATATCTTCCAATGCCAATAGATCCCCCCGATAGCTTTACAAAGTATGAAAGCAGAGATTCTAGAAGGCATGGACATGGTCATTCCTCTTATTCTTCTGGTTATGGTAGTGCGCGTGACATGCCTCCCACCGATGGCTATGGACGTTATTCTACTTTTCAGGTAATTATGAATTTATGGTTCATTTTAAAATATATACTCCCTCCGGTTTTATTTAATCTTCACACTTTGACTTCACACAAAATATGGAAAGAAATTTGACTTTACTGTAGAGTACACTGTTGAGGCACTGTTTGACACTGTTTGGCATTGTAGAGACACTGTTTGGCACTGTTGAGACACTGTTTGACACTGTTTTGATGTAGATTTCTTTGTCAAAAAAGGAAATAAGGAAGTGTGAAGTTTATTTTAGACCGTCCCAAAAAGGAAAGTGTGAAGTTTATTAAAAACCGGAGGGAGTATATATATAGCAAAACATTTCTTGCGAACATTATCTCGGGCATTCGTTGTTATCTCCCTAACTTGTATAACTGTATGTATTTGCTCCCCGTTGTTATGAAACATTTATATATCCCCTTCAGAGTACAAGCAGTCCTGGATATGGAGCATATGAAGGATATTCTGTTGGTTGTTCTGGGTGAGTTTTGTTATTACCTTATCCTATCGCCCCTAGATTTTGATTTTGGGAAGGTGGGGACATAAATCCAGGAAGTCGATATTCATTTGCTGGTTATTAAAGTTGGACTCTCTCTCCATAAGCAGTGATAAGCTACATGTTTTCATTAAATGTTTCGTTAGATTTTTTGATTTTGCAATGCAATCTTGTGTTATCAGGACACCTGAGCCAAACACTGCTTCACATAGAAAAAGTTATGGCTACTAAAATTTTCTGAGTGGAGCTGCACGAGGTAACGTTCCAATCCTTGTTTGCACTTTCCTAATCATTGAGGTTCCGTTTGGAACCCTGAAATACAGGGGAAAGAAACAGGAAGAGATTTAAGAACATAATCCAAAATTGCAAGGGAAGAAAATATTGGGGAAATAGAATGCCAAATAAACCTCAATCTATTTTAGATACATGTACTTTTTTTTATTGTTTTATTTAGGGTTTATTTGACTTTGCACCCTAGTTTATTGAACTAATTAGACTTAACACCCTGTTTTGAAAAACATTAATGTTTGCACCCTAGCATTAACCAATCCGTTAGTAAGAGTTAACTAAACATTGTAAAAGACAAAGTTGCCCTGGAACAAATAAGAAATACGTAGTACAGCCTGTAACCACAACTCAAGCCAAATGTAAAAGAGAAAATGCAAAAGTTACTAACAGTGCCAACAAAATTCTTAGAAAAAGCAAATAAAAGTCTAAGAATGACTTATATGCACCCAACAAATGCATAAGTATACTCGCACCATAAAATAAGTCCTACGCACTATGTTTACATCTTCATGCCAAAGGAAAACGAAAAAATGCAAAAGTTACTGCCAGCACTAAGAAATTGCTTAGAAAAAACAAAAACAAAACAGCCTAACAATGACTGATCCACACCAGCAATGCAGATGTATACATGCACCATAAAAAGTCCTACACACCAAATTTACACCTCCCAAAAAAAGCTAATAGTATACACAAAAAAACTGCACTAGATGCAAGAATCAGAAAGTCCGCAACAACAAAAAGCTGCAAAAAATGAGCTGCCATATTAAAAGATATACCATGTTATAGGGGCTGCCCAGAGAAGATGTAATTATACAAATTTGAACAAGCAAGAAGCTAAGGATCCAGATTTTTAAGATTCAAAGGTCAACATGAATGCCAAGCATTTACATGGATAGATACACCCAAAGAAAAACAAATATCAACACAAACTAGCTCTGAATCAACACTTTCAATATAATAATAGTAATATACTTGATAGAATAATGATACATCATTATAGATTCAAAATATCTCTGCAACTACAATCATGTTGTTATCCTTATCTATAATTCTAGCAAAAAACACAGAGCTTCGTCTAATTCTAGCAAAATATAGTGAGCTCCAAGTGAAGAGTTTACAATGAGCAACTATAATACTTGTAGCAAAAATAACACATCTTTACAGTGAGCAAAAATAGTGCAGCTGTGTTTTAATAAACTGCATGTACCAGACCGATTGTAGCATGACAAAAAAACTGCATGACAAAAATAGTGTGCAGTTGTGTTTTATGAAGCAGCCCTTCCTCTTTTGACTGCCCTTCCAGCCCCCCTTCTAACCACTCGTTCACCTCCTCTTCCAGCTCCCCTTCCAACACCTCTTCCCACAACCTTTCCTACTCCTCTTCCAGAAGCCCTTCCAACACCTCTAACAGCACTACTAGTATTGGCGCCTCCTCTAATTGGACCTCCTTGGCAAGACCTCTTGTTGTGGCCAAAAGAAAGACATTTACTACACTTTTTCATATTCTTGGATTGAGTTTCATTCTCATCATGCCCTTTTATCCTGTTGTGTTTAGGCCTTCCAGGTGCCCTTGAAAGTGTAGGTGGCAACAAAAATTCAATCCCCTGCATATAATAAAGGTGGTTTAGTTTAATTTCTAACTGCACACTTTTAATACATTTAATTAATATGGTCAGTAATACTACCTCTGGCCAATCCGTTTCATGTGAAATTGGTTTGATATTGGATTCATAAGATGATTTGTAAGCCTTAACACTTAGAAATGGACTGCAAAATCTATATGCATGAGTAATAAGAATAAAAGTTAGAAAAATACTAAATATTCTAACTCAAGGAATCCATAAACTTAAAAACCTAGCAACATACTGAGCAAGTGGCAGTCTCAAGTGGCTGATCAAGTGCACGGCATGTACACACGGTATTCCTGTCACCTGCCATTCACAACAGTCACATTCATGATTATTTAAGTTAAGAGTCCAGTGTTGTCCAGTAAACTTTCTTACACAGAATGTCCCTTCACCCGAAGGGTGAGTGACAAAATCACTCTGCTTCTCCTTATAAAGTGCTAAGGTCTTAGCAACTCTAGGAACCACACCACTTTCATCCCAAGTGCTACTTTCTAATTTCCTATCATACATAATTTTCATCATCAAAAATGACATCCCTATTATCATAGAGCACACAGGTTTCTCCCTTTCACTCAATATAAAACTGTTGTAGCTTTCGGTAAAGTTATTGGTCAAGTGATCACTTTTACAGATAGTATCAAAGTGGGCCCTTGACCACAAGTGTGGACCTATTTCCATCAAGTAATCCTTAGTCCCAACTGCTGCATTCTCCAAATTCACAAGATTTCTTTCAAAATGGACTTTTTTGTATGCCGTGGCAGTAGCCCATGCTAGTTGCTTGATGTGATCCCCTTTCCACCATTTGCTCATATTTTTGAAGATATGCCTGAAACAACTCCTTGGATTGCACCCTTCTAAATGTGTCTCAATACTTCTAATGATGGCTTGAGCTCTATCCGATATCACTGTGAGCGGCAAAGAATGTTTTTTCAGCTCAGGAGCTATTAATTCCAGAAACTTATCCCAATTTTCGCCATCTTCTTTCCTGCAAATAAACACTGCCAAGGGAAACATGCCATTATTCCCATCCATGCTAATAGCTGCTAGGCACACTCCTCTATATTTTCCCTTTAAAAAGCATCCATCCAAGCCTACCAGTGGTCTACACCCCTTTATCCAACCATCTAAACTAGCCCTAAAAGCCACACATAAGTATTTAAATCTTTTTTCTGCATCAAATTTCCATGACACCAAACTGCCCGGATTAGAAGCTTCAATCTGTCTGCACAATTCTGGGACCTGGGCATAACTCTTTTCATAATTCCCATGCACCTCTTCTAAAGCTAGTAGTCTTGCATGCCATGCTTTCCAATAACTTATATTTATTGTCCACCTATTCCAAGCTATTGCAATTATATCCCGAGGTGTGTAACTCTTGTGATGCATCTTCATGTCTTCAGCAATCATATCCGCTATTCATCTAGCATTTGCCCCTCTATTGATGTTATTACCATCATTCTCACATGTGTGTTCCTCTTGGAGAGTCATAACTTCAGCTGTGTGGCCATCATTCTTTCTTTTAATGTAACACCTCCATGCACACCCTACACCTCTGCACCTTAATATGATCTTATCTCCACAATTTTTCTGAAAAAGAACTTCAAACTTATTCTTAATGGCATACATCCTAATGTACTTCCTACATGCATCCATAGTGACCCATTGTTTTCCTACTGCCAGCAGTAGTTGGTCCTCCCATTTTTCAGATTCCAGGTTATCAAAACATTCTTCATTACATAGAAATGATCTCTGTGTAAACCCACTCAACACAGTACCAATTTCCTCCTCATTTCTTGTTATTGTTCCTTCTACTTCCTCCAATTCGCCCCCCTGAACCTCATCATTTGACAGCTCATCTTCAGCATAGCTTGCATCATTCGATTCATCATCCGAGTCATTCATATTGTAGCCATCTAGTCCATCAAGAATTTCCTCAAATTGGGTACCTATAAATAAGCAAGAGTTAATAATCTAATTGTTTTATTGCAGCCATATTATAGTCATATATAGTTCATCATGAGTTGTTTAAATATGGTTGATTTATTAGTTACAAGTCTAAACGACAAAATAGAAACAAACTATATTGCATTTAAATTTACCTTGGTAATATTCAAATACATCAGGAACTGTTTGTACATTTGCAGAATGAGCCAACGGAGCCAATTCAACATATATATTGCCAAACTCATCATTAGTATTTGTTTGAACAATACTATTCTCTTCAAACGGTACCCTAACTGAAATGACATATATATTGCCAAACTCATCATTATTACAGGACTGATAATTATAAGAGGTTTAGAGATTAAATGGAAGCTAATGAAAAGGAGATGGTTGATGTTGCTTTTCCTAATCATAGGGAAACTAAATAATCTTGTTGTCTATGTTTAACATACGGCGTATTATTTAATTAGATAAGAAACTGATATCCAAACAAAACATTGAATGCATATTATTAGGTTAACTGATCTCCAAACTACGTAGACAAGAAAAACTTGAAATGAAAACAAGTGCACTAAATATAATGTAAGATGTGAACATATGCCAAGAAAAAATGCATGCTTAAGGAATCAGGATACAACTCACTTGAGACCTGATCCAGTAAACTTTGCCTCTTAAGATGCTTTCAGCACCCTTTACCTATTGAAAAGTTTCGCTCATGCACTCTATCAGTCTATCTATTTAAAAAAATCACTTTTCTTTATTTCTTTCAATCTATACCGTACCACAAATGGTTGATTGTTTCAAAATTACAAGTTTAATATACCCAATTAGATCACTTCTCGCATAAAAGACAACGACAAAGTATCGAATAACTTACTTGCATTAGGTAAAGAGTCCATCTTTCTCTTCACAGGCAATTTCTTAGATATCATCTCCATCCTTTCCCTTGGTGTTAGTGCAGGTGCTTCAGAGTCCAGAAATATCTCCTCACGTTCTTCTAAGTCAAAGAAATATGCCATTTTATCACCAACTCCATCACGAGAGCTCAACGTCTCCATCTTGGAGAGAAACCCTATTTCACTCCAGGTAAGAGTTGCTAAGAATGAAGACTGGTGCGAGCGAGGGTTTGTATCTCAAATTCCCTGGAAGGTGTTTTAGTAAGGGCATTATAGTCCTTTCAAAGCAAGCATAACTCTGTTTATCAGATTTCTAACGGAGGGGGTGCAAACATTAATGTTTTTCTAAAGAGGGTGCAATGTCTAATTTCTTCAATAAAGGGGGGTGCAAAGTCCAATTACCCCTTTTATTTATGTTCTACATGAACTTATAAAGTGTAAAAACTTCCATTTTGTATGATAATATTTTATTGTACGCATTCCAGTGAAAAACAACATTCAAAAACTAATTTACCCAGCATTTTATTTCATTGTCCTAAAATTGTTTAGGCTCCAAACACAGCCTTATTGGAGAATTGATCATATTCCCCATCACCTCTACTCATAATAAATTTCCAACAGTATACTTGCGTATTGGTATTCTTCAACCCGCATACCCAATTATGTAACTGATTTGGTTTGTTTCCCTTTTCCTTCCCATGTTATTAAGAAAACAGCTGATATACCTGAAAGCTCGAGAAGCCAGCCCTGCCCACCACTGCCTTGTTTGAAAGCCTCCTCTCTATCTAAACCAGAAGACCTGATGAATGAGGGGGACACTCATGTTGCTTACCTCCTATATATCTGAAGGCCAAATATCTCATGTTCTTTATCTATACTAATTTAAAAACCATATCCATGTTTCTAAGCTTTGATCTGACGTGCTCTCATGAACCTTGTATACCCAGCAAGCCTCTGACCACTCTTTCCTTATTTGGTGATTTTATTAGATGTATTCATGCTCCAACTTTTCATTTTTTCATGTATTGTGCTAGAACTCCCCCAATGTTTCTGGTATTATCAATCATTATGATTACTATTATTGTTATCGATATTGTTGTTGTTATTATTATTATTATTATTATTATTATTATTCTACTATTGTTATTATTATTTGTGTTAAAGACATCTTAGTGTTTATTATAGCACAAGATGTGGTGTACTGCTAATGTGGGAAGGGGTGAATATGCAGCTTATGAGATATTGACAAGATCTGTTGCATGCTTAGATTTGGTATGTTCATCACATACTATTATATATGCACATGTACATACATCTGTTCTTTTTTTAAAAACGCGTGTTTGGGACATTTGGCCTGAATAATCTTGCGGTCCTGAAGTTAACGACTGGGTCTTCTGGTGGCCATCCGGGGGTTTATACTAATGAACTCAGAAAACTTTTCTTCACTGGTTTCATCATCACCAGAAGGTTACAAATCTGTTCCCAATAATGAACTGTATATGGGGTGTACTACCTATGGATGAAATGTGTCAAGGTCTTTTCTATTCTGTGCAGGAGGTAAGCTTATATAGCTGCAGCGGCTCTGCAAATACCAGTATATTCTCACTTTGCTCATTTTCAAAGATGGGGTAAACCAATTAAACCAATTCCAATATGTTATTACCTGTACAAACTGAAGATATTTAGGAAGACTTATTGGCAATTGTTGAAAATATAGGAAATGTAATTTTGAGGTTAAATTGTACATCATTTGTTTTGGCGGCTGGTTCATGAACGATTAAGCAACAAACTTTGGCCCTGAGCTGGACTACTTAGGCTAGTTATGTAGTGTACATTAGGCTTGGTTCAGGAAGCAATGAAGTCTTCTTCTGTGGCAACCCAGTGATATGAAGCAGCGATTTTCACGTATCCGCTTCTCACTTGAACAGTTCAACAAGCTTACCGTCTTAATTATACAATTTTTTTAAGAGTTTTTGACACTTTCAGACTTTCAGTTTGATGTTAGTGATACTTTAGATACTCGATCCATTTTTAGTCCTCAAGTATTGTGTGGGACTTTTAATTCTCGACTTCGATGTTTCCCCCATTAAGTTCTTTAAATATTACTCCGTATTAAATTGACACTTTTAGTTCTTTCACAATGATTTTGATACGATAAGTGGATGACTAAAATGTCATTATTATAATACTTTGAACAAAAAATATCACTTTTATGAAAGTCAAAGGACTAAATATGAAAATTTTCAAAGTTGGATGCCAAAAGTGTATTTCACACAACAGCCGAAAGATTAAAAGTGAAAAAATTCAAAGTGAAGTATTAAGTATCATAGTCGGATTAAAAGTGATAAAAATTCATTTTCATAATTATCGTCTTTGTTTATCTTTTTTTCACATCTATGGTTTATGCGGGAATTGATAATAAAATTGAGTGGTTGAGATGTATTTTAAAAGAAGAGGTAAACAAGTCCTCTAACTATTAGCGATTCTGCATTCTAAGCCTCTAAATAAGAAGAGTTACAAATATACTCTCAACTAGTGGTGGATCTAGTTCGGTCTGACCGGCCCGAGAACCGGTCCGGTACTGTGCAGGCCTGGCCAGGCCGGTGAAACCGGTTCCGGGCCTAGCCCTGGCACGAAGGGGTAACCGGGGCGGTTTTGGTGCCTTAAAAAGGTGAACCAGTTCGGGCCCGGCTCGGGCTGTTTTTTTTTTGGGTGCTTGGGCTGGGTTTAGGTGGGCAGTGGGCTGGGTTGGGTGTTTCTGAGGGGTTTGGGGGGTGGGGGGATGGAGGGGGGTAGGGGTTGAAATAAATAAGAAAGAAAGAAAATTGAACCGGGAACCGGATCAGCCTGGGACCGGTAGACCCTCGGGCCTTTTCCGGGCCTTACCCAAAATGTTCCAGGCCCGGCCCGGCCTAGGCCCGAACCGGAACCGGACATGGTCCGGTCCACCACTACTCTCAACTCATTAAAAATTAAGTAATTAGATTGTTTTTACCTGTTGGCATTGATAAATTTTCATGAAAAAATTCTCTTCTTACTTAGGTAAAAAAAGATTCAATTGCTTAATTTTTAATGAGTTGAAAGGTGTATTTGCAAGTCTTCTGATTCAGAAGCTTGAATGCAAAATCGCTAATATTTTGAAGGCTTATTTAAATGCAAAAGAAAGTAATTAATCACATTATTCTTTTGAGAATAGGGTCTGGATATTGTTGTAGTTATATTCTTTCAAGAAAAACAGGACTAAGTAGTGTGAGTATGAGTCTTTTACTCCTATAGAGTGAGTGCTGGACTTGGGCCGGGCCTCGGGCCACTTACATTTTTTTTCCTTTTTCTAATTACCCCCGACCCCCCCCCCCCCCCAACCCCAACCCCCCAAACCACCCCAAATGGCCCAAAATACCGAGCCCAACCCGGGGATTTAAAAAAAAAAGTTGAAAAAAGCCCGGAACCGGGCCTGGACCGGCCGGGCTGGTTCATGTTTTGGGTGACCCGAGCCCGAACCGGAAACCCCTCGGGTCGGGCCTACCCGGACCGGTCACTGGCCGGGCCACCGGTTCGAGCCGGGCTGGAACAGTGCCGGTCCCGGGCCGGTTCCGGGTCGGGCCACGCGGCTCGAGTCCACCAATAGTATAGTGTAAGCGTTAGATTTAATTAGGACAATTTATTTTGATGTTTGTGGAGTTTTTTTTTCAAAAATATTATTAAAATAAAACTTATTTACACAAATATGATTAATAGTTATTACAACGTAGTTTCATGGTAGCTTAAGTTTCAGAGTTAAACATATGTCATTATGATTTCATTACTACACTTGTCGTAATAAATTTAGTCACCTAACTCAACAATAGGGAATGAGTGGAGTATGCACATAAATAAATGAGTAATATGCATTTGTGGAAATAAATTTTATGTAGTTTACTATCGTGTATATAGAATGAGTGCATTCGGAAATAAGCATTTTATCCAAAACGCCATTTTTTTTACAAATGAAATGCTACTAATTGCAGCGTTTGAGGGAGAAAACACTGGAAAACAAATGACTCCAATTATATCACGATCATTTAATGTAGACTATGTATTAGGCTCCATTGGCTGGTCTCTGCAAACCCTACTATCTCCCCATCTATAGGGTTTTTAAAAATGAAATTCTATGAATCACTCCTAATTGAAGCTACAAGTGGCTAACGATTTGAAAAATAGAAAATAAAAAGGAATAATCGGGTGTATATAGTACATACAACTTTAAATAGGTGTGCTGAAACTAATGTTACATATTTGTATGTTACATATTTGTATAAATAAAGCATATACAGAGTAGGAATAATGATCTGATCAGGCGCGCCTGACCAGATGTGCTGTGCGGACTTGCCCTTTTGGGTGCCTTCCCGGTCGAACATTTTGATGAAATTTTTTGAGCATGTTCCTCATCAAGGCTAGTTTATCCATACCAAATTTCAGCTCAAAATTAGACCGGGAAGGCAGTCAAATAAATTCTTGAAACATACTGGTCATTCTGCGCATATATAAAGACCAGTATGTTTCAAGAATTTATTTGACTGCCTTCCCTATCGAATTTTGAGCTGAAATTTGGTATGTATAAACTAGACTTGATGAGGAACATGCTCAAAAAATTTCATCAAAAACTTCGACCGGGAAGGCACCCAAACGGGCAAGTCCGCACAGCACATCTGGTCAGGCGCGCCTAAACGCATAAAATGAATAGAGTTTTTGAATATATAAGTAACATTTTGCCTATGTTGTACGGTGTGAAGCTCATTGATGTAAAGTCTGCAAACGAGCGATTTCTTGAATTCAAGTTACCACACAATTGAAATTGAGATGTTTCTAATTGGAGTATAAATTTTTGTTTCTAGTCTGTTTAAGATTGATCTGATCTGAGCTGGTCTAGTAGATGTATACTTTATAACTTTCCAAGTCCCGCCTGATCTAGTTAGTCTGAATATGAAACCAATCCAATTAAAAACATCCTTAATAAAAGTTTGGTCTCACGTCAAACAATATTGCGAATGCCAAATTGAAAATATGTAGTTGTTGATCAATTAGTGTGGCAAGCTTGCCGAGCAACTGGAGGTATACAGTTAAAGGTTGAAATGGTTCACATTCGTAAACGAGAAAAGTGGAGAACTTAAAGTTAAATGAGAGATCTATACGGGATGGAAACTTGATAGGGAAATATCTTCAAGAATAGACAGTGGGCAATCATGTCTACCCACGTTCAGCTGATCCTTTGGTCATTACACACAATGCAAAACCACGCCCATTAAATAATCCTTTCTCCACTCCTTATTCCATAGCCCTTCCATCAACTAGCTGCTCAATGTTTTTGTGTTCTCACAAAATAGGCTAAGCAATGTAAGCATTGACCTTTTTTCATGAGAAGTCTTGCATGTGGGAATGAGGCGGGGAGTGCAGCCAAGGATGACTTGCCGGTTGTCGCCTAGCAAGTGCTCGCATATATATACAAGATATGGAGTAGCTATATATGATAAGTGTCGGCAAGTCATTCTTGGCTACACTTCTTCCTCGTTCTCTCATCCGAGACTGCCTTCTTATGATGATTACCAGCCAACTCTAGCTTCCACTCGTCTGTCGACTGATGATTCACTCCATGTTAAGGTGACCGTCTTTCATGTTTCCTAAAGTTCTATGTTGAGTACACATTTTTAAGTAGAGGATAGACTTTTAGTGTGTAATGTACTTCGTATATTACCATGTGATGAGTTGCAGTTGGCCAAAATGAAATAGTTTTGACGTTGAGTGAGGCTGTTATACAAATAAGTGACGTTGATAAGCTAACATTCTTTCTGAATTACAAAAAAAAAGACCAGAACAAAAAAATCAAATAGAACATGGAGCTAATTTATACTCCGTAATGATTAGAAGTTAGAACCAATGACTTTTTTTACAGCAGTTAGAACCAATGACTAACAACATACTGGAAATCTGGAATTAGAATTCAAAAGTGAAATTAGGACAACAACTGGAAGAATATTCAAACATTTTTTTACGTCTCTCGTTATATAATGGAGCATTAACAAAGTACTATAGCAGATTACCTAACTTCTGGAATTTGAACCCGTAGTGAATTTAGATTAAATGAAAATAATCCTGCAAATTTGAAGTTCATGCTATTGGTAGAACATAGAGCAGCAAAACAGAAATTTGTGCATATGAAAAGATTCATGAACAAAGTACATTAAAACGCGATTTCCTTATGAAGAATTGAAGATCACATTGTAAATATGTAACTACTAAATATGACTCTTTAAACGGCAAGTTATTTTTATGAATGCTTGTGTTTCATCAAGGGTTAATTAGGGTACACTCGGAAGTAATCCCCCCGTCCTACTATAATTGTCCCATTTTTCCATTTTTGGATGCCCCCCATTATTGTCTCATACCATATTTGGTAACATTTGTGCGACTTTAATTCATTCTTACTTTATTCCCACTTTATCAACTCATTAATCAACTTTACAGCTCACACCACTCTCTTCTGTCCCAATATTAGGGGGACGGAGGTAATACTAATTTTATTCGTGTTATGACAATATCATGACTCAATAATGACTCTAAAGTTAGCATGCAATTACTTTGTTTTGAGTCCTTGACCACATAGATCCATCTAAATTCAAGAAAGTTAGGGGGTGTTTGGAATTGATTCTGCATCAACTTCTTTTTTAATGCAGAACCAGAATCAGTTTCAGAAGCCGATCTCCCTCTGATTCTAGGAGTAATTTAGAGCACCAGAAGTACTTATGCGCTTTCACCCAAACACTCCAACTTCTGCTTCTGCTCTCTGAAGGAGAAAAAGCATTTTTAAGAATCAGATCCAAACACCCCTTTACCATGGTTAGAAAGTCATGCAGGTCTGTTCAAGGGTATTATGGTTATTTCATTATTTTTACTCCTAAAAAATGAACAATAAGAATATGGTTCTATATATGGACTGATGGAATACATCATTTCTAAGTCGATTTCCTTTTTTTGTACTACTATAATAGAATGTTTGACATAAAAGGTACAAAGAATGACGGGGGAAATAAAAAAAAATCCAGTGCCAAGAATATACTCTCCAAGAAAATATCTTCCTATAAACAAATGGAACCTAATTCAGGACAAAATGTATCTCATCTTTCTTTTGTCACTAGCTACCTATCTTTTGGAAGAGGGCCTGCTTTAAGAAGTTGTATCAATCAAACAAGAAGTTAAGAAAAACTTTTTTCTCCTCTGCTTCAACCAGACTAGAACCAGGTTCTTTCCGCACTCCACAAACATCCATCTCCTTCCTCACCTTCTCAGCACCATCCCACTCACCCTGTGAAGCGTATATGTTAGAAAGCAACACATAATCACCACTCTCACACACTCCTAATTTTTTCAGATGCACATTTGCAATCCTTCCCAGCTCAGCCTGACCGTGAATTTTACAAGCTCCTAACAGATTTCTCCAAATGATGTCATTTGGTTCAATCTCCATTCTACGGATGAACTCAAAAGCTTCATTCAACATCCCTGCACGTGACAGCATGTCGACCATGCATCCATAGTGCTTCATATTTGGCTTTATGTTGTACTCAGCTCTCATAATTTTGAAGTATTGTTGACCATCTTTGACTTTTCCTGAATGACTGCAAGCTACTAGTACCCCAATGAAAGTGACTTCGTTGGGTTTGAGCTTCAGTCTCCTCATCTCTTCAAAGAGAAGGATTGATTCTTCAGGATGGCCATTGATGGCTAGGCCTCTTATTATAAGATTCCAAGATGAAACATCTTTTTCACTCATACTGTGAAACACTTGAAGTGAACTCTTGATGCTGCCACACCTGGCATACATATCTATTAGTGCATTTCCAAGAAAGATGCTTAATTCCTCTTTATTTATCATCTTTGTGATTGAGAAATGTATCTTTTCACCAACATCCAGAGAGCCTGAATCTGTGCAGGCTGACAAGAGGCTCAACATGGTTGCCTCATCGGGCTGTTCTCCTGCCTTCCTCATTCTTTCGTACATCTCCAATGCCTGTTTCTGCTGACCGGAATGGACATAGCCAGAGATAATTGTGTTCCAAGTCACGACATCCTTCATTGGAGCCATGTCGAACAAATCTCTTGCGCCATCCATCTTCCCCTGCTTCACATATCCGGTAATCATCACATTCCAAGATACCAGGTCCTTCATTGGCATTTCATCAAACAGCTCTCTTGCCACCTCCAACTCCCCTCTCCGGGCATAGCCTGCTGTTAAAGCAGACCAAGCAACTACTTCTCTCACTGCAAAACAATCAAAAAGCCAAGTCGCGATCTTTAAGTCCCCGCAATTTGAGTGAAAATATATGAGGGAATTCCTAGCATGCTTATTGGATTCAAACCCATGTTTTACAATCTTGCCATGAGTTGCAAACCCGGTTTTGAACCAAGAAAGCCGGGTGCATGCCTTGAGTAGGAAAGGAAAGGTATAACTATCCGGGCACACATGGCTTTTCTCCATCTTTGCAAACAATGGAAAGGCAAGGGATGGTCTGGGGCTCTGAGCAGAGCCTCTGAGCATTGTGTTCCACATGAAGAGGTCTGGTTCGAGAATTTGGTCGAACAGTTTGTGGGCATAGTGAATTGAAGTCGAGAGAACCACGGCAGAGACGTAAACGAGTTCTCGGAGAGCAAAGCGGTTGGAGTTGAATCCATTTATGATTAGCCGAGCATGTATTCGCTTTAAAGTTCTGAAGTCTTTGCAGCTTCGGATTCGCCATGTTGTAGGACATTGTTGGAAGCTTGAACTCCCGTTTGTTATGGCCGTTCTGGTCATTTACTGGTGAACTCCCCTCTCTCATTTTACTGCGGTCTGCGGATTAAAAAATGGATAGCACATGACGAACGCCGCACCTTGCTCTAGCGTGCTGCCAGAGTGCATGTACTCTGCAGAAATGACACATTTTATTTTTGATCTCACGTTTGTTTTTGTTTTTTCTACTCCTAATATGTATTGTTTCGTTTTTAGTCCATCTTTAATTCACAAAAAGCTCCACTTATAAAAAGTTATTGTCAGTTGCATAAATCTATTAGAAATATTTAAAATTGTCCATTAAAAAATATTGCTAACATAAAATTGATATATATAAAATACAGCTAAAGTTATTTTGATTAAATGATTATAATCTCTTAAATGTAAATCATGGTTCCAAGTGAGATAAAGGTGTAGAGGGAGGTGTATAGACTTTTAAATTTTTTCAATTTATCAATCCCTTTTCTATCTAATAGATTGAGTTCCAATATCTTTTGAGGATATTGAAATGTACATCGGAAGTCTTGAGTTCATATGATGTGACACTTTATAGTAACAAATGTTATGACCCTTTTAATTTGGTAGGAAATGGTTTAAAGAATGACCAGATGCGTTCGTAAAATAATCAACGACCTTATTAGCATCGTTAAGTTGTTTGGCAGCAATGTGCTAACAGCAGGCTCAACATCACGGTGCTGTTGACTGGCTTATTAGCAAAGTGTCGTCATCAAGCTTATAAACAGGCTAATGTAACAAGGTTACTGCCATAGTATTTTAGACGTAGAGTGAGACTATTGTCTGGAATACTTAAGGGCATTTTAGACTTAACAAAGCACATAAGGATGAAGGGTTTTGACCTACCTAGAGATAGGGTTTTCAATATAAGGATGAAACAAAGGAACTCGATTACAATGAACTGAGCAGTTCACTGGTCAGTAATTTAGTAAGTTGTTTGTTGTTGAGTGTTTGGATAGATATGGGGATGAGTGAGGACTGTTGGTGATGTGAGAACTAAAAGTAAATGATGACATAAGGTATATCCCGGTTCAAATGTGGTGTAATTCTCCTACAAGTTACATCCAGTCCCACCCTCGAGATGATGAATTTCCACTAAATGAATATACATATTACATTTAATGACCAATCTACCCTTGGCCGGAGGCGTAGATTGTGAGGTTTTTCACTAGTCAAAACAACATTCCAAGCTACTCAGTCCTCATAAATGTTTCACTAGTGGCATTGACCCGTCAAAAGCTACTCTATCCTTACTCCCCAAGGTTTTTCACTAATGGCATTGACTTGCCAAAAGCTACTCATGTCCTTGTTCATCACTCTCACACTTTCTGGATTTGATCACAAAGCCCTTCAGAGATTACAAACTAGTTTAGTTTACAACGGTAAATCTAAATTTCCAACTATCTAATCTCTAATGATATATCTGTGTATAAACTATTCTAAGAGCTTAGAGGAGTATGGCGAGAACTAAGAAGACGAGTGATGATAAGCATTTGCTCCTTTGATGGACATGTCGTATAAGCTCGTTTTCCTTCTTAGCTCCACACACTGTTCTCACGCACTCCTGTATTTATAGACTGGGTTGTTGAAAATCTCTCGTTGGCTAAGGAGATTCAATCTTGATCGTTGATTGATCCACTTGGTGACTGTGAGGCAGCATGATTGGTATTTGTCTTTTCATGACACATGTTGTGACTTTTTGTTCCACTTGCATTCTAATTTATCATTTCGCATTTCAAGACATATGGCTAAGATAATTTTTTATTTAATCTTAGCCGTGGAAAAAATCTTTGGTACATAATATTTCAGATAAAGTCTTTAGCCGTTGTTCAATGCTTCCTCCGTTCATAGATCCATTGTCTTCTTTATTACAAAAATAATAGCACTTATTATGTACTATCTATGAATGAATTGTCACCGTCTGCAAAAAAATTAATGTCAGTTTTACATGGAATGAAAACGGGATTTTACTTTTGCCTTTTTACAGTTTTACAGTTACTAGGCTGATGGTGGATCCCTATGTCAAATGTTGCATATTTTGACTTAGCTGCAAAAATGAAAGTTGTAGAGAAGGTTGAGACGATCAACTTTGCTTCTTATAGCTCTCTCAAATTCCGACCCTAAGGTAGAGGATTTTCAGCCTGTTGATGAGGCACTTTATTAGGCAGTTTTGTACTATCAACCGCCTGTGGTTTGAGGTAGCTGCTAGTATTGAAATATTCAGTTGACTCTTTTTGCATATTGTTTCATTTGTTTTTCCTTTTATGTTTTTAGTACTTTTCTTTTGTTTTTGTTTTTCTTCATTTGAGTACTTTTCTTTTTCAAAATACAATGTAGCAAGATACAAAATAATACAAGCCAAGTGTTTCTCGTCTAATACAGTGTGACATCATCAAAATTTAATCATCAAAACCTAAGAGTCCTAATAATAAATATCAAACATAAGTTACTGACATCAAAATTACTACTATTAGTTACTACTATAATCCGAGGCGACATGCCATTTTGTACTATAATTGAGGCCACATGCCATTTTGTAAACAAAGTTTTTTGTTCATAAATATGCAATTAATTCATACTTTAATAAAATACATGATTGTATTTTGAGTGAACATATACAATATAGTGAGATAATTGATGATAATTATGATGTTATAAGTGCATTGATTTAACTATTTTTTGCCAACGTGGTTGAAAATATTTTATTGTCAACGTGGAATTTCTATTGTTAGCTGGATCTATTCAAGAGAGATAAGATCGAGAATATGTCATATTTTTTGAATAATGAGGTACTAAAAACTCAAATAAATAGTGAGTCCTATTTAATTAACACATACAAGTATAGGAAATCACAGTTAACCAAAGTTTAAGGTATTTTATTTATTTTCCCCTTAAATTAATAAAATATATTACCTCCGTTCCGATGGACTTTGCCAAGTGCAAAACAGGTAAAAAATAAGAATAGTAAAAACTGTGCGTTTGAAATTTGTGCAGAGTAGAGTTAGAAATGTGCAGATTCACAAATTAGTTGCTTTAATAGGAAAGTGACAAAGTTCTTTGGGACAATTAAAAACGAAAAGTTGGCAAAGTCCAATGGGACGGAGGGAGTATGTTAAGAGCCCATTTGGCAACATTGAAATCGGCTTAATCGGTCGATTCTGCTGAAAGTTATGATGTTCTGGCTGAAGTGGCTGTATTGACGGATTCTGCTGATTTATGAAAGATTTATTTACAAATATATTTTATTAATAAGATAAAGAAAAAATTATACTCCCTCTGTCCCTTTTTAGTTTGCCAAACACAAATTTTCAAATCAAATTTATTCAACTTTGACCGATTATATATTTATACACGGTAATGTTGATAATAAGAAAATTATATGAAAATGTTCTTTGTTGAAAATATTATCATAAAAGTATAAATTTATTAACTTTTACATAAATCAATTAAAATAATAGATCCACGTATATCATCTTCAACTAGTAAGTTAAAGTTGACAAAAAAGGGGAAGGAGGTAGTATGAAAATATAACTAAATTGGTCATATACGAGGGCGTTTGGAGCACCCAAAATGGGCTGATAAGCCTGAAAGTATAAAAAATTTGCCAAACACTAGCTGAATTTGCTGTTTGGGCTGATTTTTATTATCAGCTCAAAAAACAACCGTTTACTTACTTTTTCGGCTGATTCTTATTATTTTGCTGTTGGTGACCAAAAAGACTTGTTTTACCCTTCTGTTATACCTGAAAGAACGTTGGATACATATCTGAAGTCATCAAGTCAACACATCCATCTGCCGTTGCATGTAGTTTCGATGAGTTGTTTGGGGGTTGGGTTAGAAGTTGAGAGCTGATTCTCTCCCTCTTCGCGAGGCTCTTCTACGATAAATCTCGATTCATCCCAATGGATCCACGGTTGACTTGTTTTTTGATTTGTTCTTCCTTCTAGATTTGTATTAGCTGAAATACGCTGTTACTCGGTTTTGGATTTTGGATCGACAACTTGGTCTGCGGTCAAAAACTCAACAAATGACGATGTTCATGTGCGTCTGTACTGTTCATTTACGCGATTAGTTCTTGATGTTCGTTAGGAGTTTTGAGTTGTCTGGATTTGAACTATTCTGAGCACGGATTTATTGATCGATTTTCTTGATTGCTGCAACGACCCCTGCATCTATTCGTACCAGGTCCCTGACGAACTGGGGAATTCGGACTTTCAATTTGTCTTACCAGGTCGGATTTGGCTTGTTCTGCAGTGTGTTACCAGGTCGTTTTACCAGGTTGTTCTACCAGGTTGTCTTCATACCAGGCTGTGCTTTCTGGCTTCGGTTTGCAGCGGTTTCACCCTGTAGATGAACAAAAAGAAGACAGGGAAGGGGGAGGCTACGCCCAGGCTTACCAGGTCCAAAGCAGCAGGCTTTGAGGTATTCAATAACCTTGAGGAAGAGTTCCCGGAGCTTGCTAAATCTGCCTTGAAATCAGCAGGTATTAGCTCCGGTTTTGGTGTTTTAACTGCCCCTGCAACTGGGCAAGTTGAGCAGGCAGATATGCAGACCAACACTGATACCACTGCTATAGTGGTACCTGCGAGAACACTGATGCCATCTCCTGGGACTAAACAGATTAATGCTAAGGCTGGTGTGACTGAGAATCCCTTAAAGCCTACTGAACCTGCTGCAGGGACATTAACTGCTGGGGTTCCTGCATCCGGGAAAATGGTTTCAACACTGGCCGTAACTACAGAAACTAAATGGAACTCTCTGTTTAAGGATAACCGGGATCCAAAAAATGGGATTAAGCTGAGATATGTTCCACCTAAAGGCGAGACACTGGACTTTGGTGACCGCATACTACCCTCAATGGTTGAAATGTGGGGTTATTGTCTAGTGGGACATTTCACCGGCAAATTCCCCGGACTCAAAGCGGTTCATGACTTAAAAGCTACATGGGGAGTCAAATGCCTTGTAAGATCTCATAATAAGGGTTGGATAATTTTTAAATTCCAAAATGAAGAGGATAGATCCAAAGTACTACATGAAGGACCCTACACCGTCTTCGGTAAGTTATTAATGCTCAAAGAACTCTCGGAGGACTTCACTTTTGAGGATGAGGAATTTCTAAAAATTCCAATTTGGGTCAAGTTCCCTAAACTACCGATGAGTTTATGGAATGATGAGGCTATGAGTGAGGTGGCATCAATGGTCGGGGTCCCATTAACCACGGATAAAATCACTCAAGAGAGGGCAAACAATGATTATGCTAGAGTGCTTATTGAAGTGGATGTCTCAAACCCACCGCCACTTTCTTTTCCTATACGACTACCTTCCAAAAAGGTAATCAAACAAAGTGTGCTTTATGAAACTTTTCCTAACTATTGTTTTCATTGCAAAGAATTTGGGCACCACCCTTTTATTTGTAAAAAGCTTGCTAAAAGGGTTGATGGAGAAAGTGAAAAAGAACCGTGTGTTGAAGCAAACAAGGTTGTTGTGAGTGAGGCCACTCAGACAAAGGTTGTTGCCCAGGGTTACCCGACCGGGGGTTCATCTGACCCGACCGGGCTTCTTGCAAAAACTGCAGCAGTTGCTGTCCCTGCACCTTGCCCGACCGGGCATACCAGCGACCTAACTGGGTCTGCCAGGCAGTCTACTAACCAGAGAACTGCCACTCCTTCTAAGGCAGAACCGGAGGCCGTTGTGGAAGATATTGATAGGATTGTGATGGAAGAGAAAGACTTGAAGTTCAATGATGTGGTCATCAAATGTGAGGTAATAAAGGGTAAGACAATGAAGTTAGTTGTCAAACCGTTTAGATTTGTGCACACGAGTGTGATTAGAGTGGATACTTCTCTTCGACTTACGGATGATTTGGATAAGAAAGGACTTACTTTCACCGCCAATTGTCTCGAGGGTATGCCGGGAGTAGCCAAAAAGAAAGGGAAGGTTTGTTTTGACTCAAAGTTTACTACTCCCTTCCGAGCTTTCTTTGGAGTTTAAATTAGGGATACCTAATATTTTATTGATGTGGGAGGGAGTGGACCTCGATTTTGTGGTATCCTGTGTACTGGGATATGCACTTTATATGTAACACTGGCTTGTTATTTTCTTGGGTGTTAAGTGATTTGTGAAATGGGGACTGTCCCATTTCTTTGATGCATTATATCTAGGTTAGTTTATTCTAGCTTAGATAGTCATTTTGATTTGGATTGAGGCATTGTAAAATGTAATTTTTCTTCGATTTCTAATATACTTACATATTATCGTCGATGAGTTGTTTGGTGCTCTGGAGTATGGTGTTAAATACTACGTACTTTACTGTGCTAAATAACTCCAATAAATACTACGTACTTTTTGTTTTGTTTTTATTTTAATTTCAATGCATGTGAGCTTTTTAATGCTCCATATATTTTATTGAAAGTGTATTTTTTAAATTAATTTACACATGTTACTAATGTCACTCATTCAGAAAAAATTGTGTTTTTTGGAAGATAAAACTTGTATAAAACAATATAAACTCAACATAGGAGTAAAAAATTTGATGTCATAAGTTAAATAAGCAAAATTAATTTACTAACAAAGATCATACCCATATATTCAACACAAACAAGCTAATACCCTTTATAGTAATTTTACACTCAATCAGCCATTTCAGCCAACATATTACCAAACACTTTCACTTTAACAGATTAAGTCTTTTCAGTCTATTCAGCCTATTCAGCCGTTGCAACCATTACCAAACGGGCCCTACAATAACTTAACTTAAACATTACTTTTTCTTATTATTACACAATTCAACGTGCGAAATAAAAAATTATAATAAACATTACTTTTTGTTATTGAAAAGTTGATTGATAAACCGAAAAATATACGGGAAACGGGCTCAACCAAATTATCCACACTAATTACAATTATTATATTAATTTTAAAAGATTTAATCGCTTTGGTTAATTTTACCGACATGGCCTAATTGGCATTAGAACGCTGACACTACTACCTATCACTGACTGCACCCGGACCCATGACTACAGAGTACAGACTACTTGGCCTAGTCTACGCCATATATCGCAAAATACGGGAAATTAGGAGCTGTAAACCTGCAAATTTGGATTGAGTTTTCTAACCATGGTTAAACTCAACCCCAGGCAGCGAGTCAAAGTGCCAAACCAGGAAACACCATAGCCAAGCCCAGCCAGGTCCATCATCAACCCCCTTATTTATTTTGAACTTCCCTTCAATTCGCCAACGATTCTTCACATTTTTCAGGTAGGTAGAGATAGAAAGAGGGGTGGGAAATCAAATGATGGCCATCTCTAGCTATCCCACCGTGCTTCCCTCGTTCGAGTGCCGCTCGGACCCTGATTTCTCCGGCAGATTTCCGCGCCCGGAGTTCCCTAGCTCGACCTTCCGTCCCAAATCACCGAGTCACGGATCTACTCTTCGCGGCCTCTCTTCTCCGATCTTCAGGTTCCCTCCCAACTTCGTCAGGCAGCTCAGCACCAAGGCTCGGAGGAACTGCAGCAACATTGGCGTCGCCCAAATCGTCGCGGCTTCGTGGGCCAACAACAACTCCGCATCTGGATTTCACCCGGCGGCCAAGGCAATTGATGCCGCCGCCGCCGCCGCCGCATCCATTTCGCCGCCTGAGGTGGTTTCCCCTGTGCCCGAGCAGGCGCAGCTGGAGAGGAATGGTAGTTGTAGTGAACGAAATGTACAGAATCAGGATTTGACCCATGTAAAGTACGCTTCTTTTTTGAGTTCAGATGGGAGCGTCGCAGTTCATGCGGGTAATTTTTTAGTTTGCCTTTTTATTGTTTTAGAAATGCATCTAATGCTTACATATTTAATTGGCTGTTTTCTTGATTAGACATATTAGATCACGTAGAATTCATGATTTCTGTAAAGCAAGAATAGATTTTGTTCATTTTGTTCGGAAGAATTAAGCATATTCTTAAGCAGCATATTCTTGCTTTGGCAGGTGAAAGATTGGGGCGTGGTATTGTTACTGATGCAATAACTACTCCGTATTTTAGTATTTATATGCTCCCTCTGTCCCTTGTAATTTTCTCACACGAAGAATAATAAAAAAAGCTTTTATAATAGCTTTTTGTGCAGAGTAGATAGAAATAATAGGAATTGCTAATTAATTGATTGAAAGCAAAAATGTCAAAATTTATGGGGCAAACCAAAAAGGAAAGATGTCAAGTTTAAAAGTAACAAGGGAAGTATGTAATGATATTATGTCTTCAATTGCATTGAAGATTTTGGGATTCCATTAGTGTGTGTGCATGGGGTTTGAGTATGAATTAAGCAGCATATTCTTGCTTTGGCAGGTGAAAGATTGGGGCGTGGTATTGTTACTGATGCAATAACTACTCCGGTTGTTAACACGTCTGCTTATTTCTTCAACAAGACTTCTGAGCTTATTGATTTCAAGGTATTTGATGTCTGTCTTATTTACTGTGTTTACCGTTTCTTAACTTGCTGCACGTGGGAAAACAGATGTATGAACTAATGCTGGTGAAAGATATCAGTATATCACTGAATATTATGCACCCTCTTTATGCATAGAATGTATTGTTGACTATGGGGAAGTTCACCATGGTAGTTCTGCCTTTTTGCATTGGATAATTTGTTTCTGCTGATTTGATATGACAGGAGAAAAGGCGTGTTAGTTTTGAATATGGGCGTTATGGAAACCCTACCACTGTTGTTGCAGAAGAGAAGATAAGGTCACCTCTATAGCTAAATTTTGATTTTGTAAGTTATGCTAGTGCTTATGTGATAAAGGTGTTGAAGCCACTTTTCTTCTTCCTAATGTAACAGTGCACTTGAAGGGGCTGAGTCTACCTTGTTAGTGGCATCTGGAATGTGTGCTAGTACTTTAATGTTGCTGGCTTTGGTTCCTGCTGGGGGTCATCTTGTCACAACCACTGATTGCTATAGAAAGACTAGGATCTTTATCGAGACAATACTTCCTAAGATGGGGATCACTGTAAGAAACTATTATCTCCCTCTCAAAAGAAAATTGAAAATAAAATTTAAGTTTTAGAATATTAACTGTTGTACATAGTTGTGTAATTTGGTAAATAGTGTTTTTATTAAAAGGGCTATACTACCTAAGGGAGCCCCATTTTCTGATGCTCTGAATGATCACGGGATGATGAATCTTGGGTTACAACTTACAAGATGACTTCTTGCTAATTTTTACAGCATTGTTTTCACATATTTAATCTTCTGCAATGTGTCATTTTTTAAATGCAGGCCTCGGTAATTGACCCTGCTGATATGAATGGGCTGGAGTCTGCGTTAAATACACATAAAGTCGGTGTTGCCAATCAATATCAGCTTCCTTTTAACTTGTTTTTAAGTACTACGTATATGATTAATTTAGAGTCAGTCTTTAGTTCTTTACTGATTGGTTGATATCTTCTGTGCTGCAGGTGAGCCTCTTTTTTACAGAGTCCCCAACAAATCCATTATTCAGGTGCGTTGACATTAAGCTGGTTTCCAAGCTTTGCCATGAAAAAGGTGCCTTGGTTTGTATAGACGGAACATTTGCGACTCCTCTCAACCAAAAGGCCTTAGCTCTTGGGGCTGACCTTGTCCTTCACTCTGCAACAAAATTTATTGGGGGACATAATGATGTATGTGTGCTGAATTTAGCTAGGATTATTATTGCTTTACTCAACTGCTCCTAGCTTTGATGCCCTGATTTATTTGTCTCACCCAAACCTGTTTCATGTTGCAGGTCCTAGCTGGATGCATCAGTGGACCTGAAAAGTTAGTTTCAGTAGTTCGTAACTTGCATCATATCCTTGGGGGAACTCTCAATCCAGTAAGTGTCTGTGTATTAGTTCGAGTAAGCATGACATCTTTTGACAGAAATGAGAATGAATATGGTGCACTATATTCAAGATCTTTGGGATCTGAAAAGGCCACCAACCACACAGAAAAAACTGGTCAAAGTGCTGTGGCAGTTTTGTACATGAATTGGATTTTTCTGCTACTGCAAAAGGTGCAATAAAAAAATGCAAAAAGTACAATGCTCGCATAGGAAGTGTCATTCTCACAAAAAATGCACCCTATACTTGCGTGTGTACTCCATATATATGTAAACAAACATATACATCACATAGATCTATATATATTACTACGTATATATTTCCAGAGCACTCATTAGCTAAATAAGAAAACATTGTAATTTTAAAAGTGCGAAGCATGAATGGTGCATAAGTTTGTTGTCCTACACTAGTTTTTCTACATGTGCAATATTTGTAGTATGTAACTCAGTTGCTTATATAGCTCTACTTGATATGTTAGAACGCTGCATATCTTATCATCCGAGGCATGAAGACGCTGCATCTGCGTGTACAGCAACAAAACTCAACAGCATTAAGGATGGCCGAAGTTTTGGAGGCCCATCCTAAGGTATTGCCAATACAGTCTAGATCGTTTCTAGTCTTTTTCTTAATTTCTCAAATATCATAAAAAAATATTATTTCGTCTGGTCTGATTGAATAAGATCGGATTTTTCTTAACAAAGTGTGACTAAAGAACTTTGTCATGCAAGTAAATTTTTCTATCCTATATTTATCCTTATGAGATCCTTTTTACATTATAAACGTGTTCAAGCATGACCTTGTAAATCTTAAAAGATGATGATGAGTTGTGCAGGTGAGACGTGTCTACTATCTGGGCTTGCCAAGCCACCCAGAACATCATATCGGGAAGAAGCAAATGACTGGGTTTGGTGGTGTCGTCAGTTTCGAGGTTTGTATCTTTTAAGCCTCAGACAACCATTTATTCAGTGTCAACTCATATGAGATGCATCTTAGGGAGTATGAAGGGCTTAATAACTAAATCATTGACTAGATTGACGGAGACCTGATGACCACTGCAAAATTTGTGGATGCTCTGAAAATTCCATATATTGCCCCATCCTTTGGCGGGTGCGAGAGCATCGTGGACCAGCCAGCCATTATGTCTTATTGGTATACAAATCTTTCGTTGAATGTGATTTCGCAAATTTATATTCTGGCCATCTCAGTCATGTTTGTTGGGTTGTAAACAGGGATCTTTCTCAGTCAGAAAGGGCTAAGTATGGGATAATGGACAACTTGGTTAGGTTCAGCTTTGGGGTGGAGGACTTGGAAGACTTGAAAGCTGATGTTCTTCAGGCTCTAGAGGCCATATAGTGGCGCCCTCCTTTCAAATGCTGTTTCTCTTTTGTTTTTTAGTCATTAAGAGTTGGCTTGCTTGTTTCTTGTTTATTTACTTGGAATTTGTTGGTGGGCACGTACACTCAAAGAAGCATTTATGTCCACAATTTGAATCAAATACGTTGCTTCAGTAATCAACTGATGAATCCTTGATTTATTTACAATACTCACATATACACTGAAAAACAACTGATCAACATTTTGGTAGTTACTCGGTCAAGGGCGGACTAGTGAGTTGGACTGAGTACTCGGGATAACTCGGTGGAGTACTCGGGATAACTCGGTGACTACGCAGCCCTATATTAATTAATTTTAAAAATACAAATGTTTGAAATTATAGTAATATATTAGGGAAAACTGTCAATTTAGCTCCCGTACTATACCGAAAACGTCGATTAGGCTTCCGTACTTCATAAACACTCAATTGAAGTATTGAACCCTCATATAGTCATACTACTAAAAAACGCTCAATTGAGCACTTTTAGAAGGTCACCAACCGGTTTTCCATTTATGTACACGCGTGGCACTCCACGTGGTGGCTTGCGTGGCATTTCTTTTCTTTTTTCTTTTTTCCTTCTTATTTTCTTTTTCTTTCTCTTTCTCTTTTCTCTTTTCTTTTATTTCCTTCTTCCGATTTGCTTACATAGCTGATAGCTGTCATAGCAGGTGAAGCCATTGAAGGAATTCAGAGGTTGCTGACATCACCTGGGTTGCTCTTGTTCCAAAGTTCTGTTAGATTTATTGACATCGCAGACCATGGAAGTGTACCTTCCGGCAGCAAATTAAACCAACACAGACGCAGTCTTTGCGAAGGCGGCGTAATACCCAGCTAGGCGGCGTAATACCCAATTATGGCGGCCGCAGTCCTTGCGAAGGCGGTTGCAGTCCCCAACGATGACCCGAATTCCCTGAATTACTCCCCTCTTGTGAAACGGATCTACACAAACGGGAACTTGATTTGATGAACCGAAAGAGATAAAGAAATAAAAGAGAACAAAAGTTGCAACTTGAGACCATGGAAGTAGGATCTGGAAGTGGGTCTTGCCGACGACCTGGGATTTGGGAAGGAAGCTAAGAGAACGAGAGTAAAGCTTTAGACTAAAGAAAGAAGAAAGAAAGGAAATGTAAAGGAAAATGAAAAAGAATAAGAAAAAGAAAAAATTGTCACCTGTTCTGCCACGTGGAGTGCCACGCGTGTACTTAACTAGGAAAAAGGAAACCAGTTGGTGACCTTCTAAACGTGCTCAATTAAGCGTTTTTTAGTAGTACGATGGTTCAATTGGGTGTTTTTGAAGTACGAGGACCTAATCAACATTTTCAGTATAGTACGGGGGGCTAAATTGACAGTTTTTCCAATATATTATTCCTAAAATTCTTAGATATGAATAAAATCATATGGAGTAATCATTTTAATGAAAAAGAGCATAGAGCCATGGAGGAGAATAACTTATGTAGAGATGAGAAGGAAGCACCACAAATTTTTAAATATAAACTTTTTAAGGTTAATTTCCAATTTCTAAAATATCCACTCATTGTTTATGAAATGCATATTATCCCTCTTTAATTAAATTTTTGAGATTTAACACAACAAAAATAAATGGCCAAATAACTCGCTGAGTTGTGATGTTCGTTTAGTCAAGAAGCTTGTCGAGTACTCGTCAAATAATTTAGAAAAAATAGGACATGCCGAGTTGCAAGTACTCGCTGAATAATCACCGAGTAGATAACACTATATATACGTTTTCTTACACTTTTCTTACACACTATATATACACATTCGAATATTATCCAATTTTCTCCTTGTCTCCGGTCTTTCTCTTTTTTCCTTTCCTTTTCTCCACCTATTCTCAATCAAAGATAGAACCATTCTCTTCTCTTCTTCACCCTATTCTCCTCTTCTCCATCAGCTTCTTTTCTACTTTTTCATATCCATTTTTTATTACTTGCACAAAATTCATCTTTATTTCGCTCTTTCTATCTTTTTTATTACCTATCAATATTTTTATATCAGATTACAAGTAAATTAGTCACATACACAACTACAAATTTATTTGTGCGCATTTGAACAATTACACATTTTATTTACACGGACAATTAAAATTGATCTCATAACAAATAAATTAGGCACAAACAACTACTCCCTCCGTCCCGTTGGAATGTTCCCGCTTTCCTTTTTTGGATGTCCCAAAAAGAAGTTTCTATTTCCCTAAATGGAAAGTTATCCTACATCAAAACAGTGTCAAACAGTGCAGAACAGTGCCAAACAGTGTCCAAACAGTGTCAAAATAGTAAAATTTACCCCTTAGTAAGTTTATTTCCTTAATATGTGTGTAGGTCAAACCGGGAACATTCCAACGGGACGGATGAAGTATTGTCTATGAGCACTACAATGCACAAATGATTATTGTCCATGGACACATGCATTGTTTGCACGCGAAAATTAATGTCTTTTTATTTTTATGGAGACAATCACAAACAATTCTATGTAAGCCTTTGTGTAAATGTAACACTTTTTGGAAAACTTTAACACTAATTGTCTTCTGTTCATACCCTTTTCCTCAAAATCCCTATTTTCACTTCGATCTAATTAATTATGACTATTTCTATTCATTATGATTAAAAAAGAAAGGAAAAAGATGCCAATAAGCCCATGTACTAACAAAAAAAAAGGTCAAATAAGCTCTTATTTAGGAGATTTTTTCCGCTCATCGCTATTTGGGGCGGTTCCCGGTGGAATTTTTTGATGAAATTTTTTGAGCATCTTATTCATTAAATCTAGTTTACTCATACCAAATTTCGGATGAAACTTCAATCGGGAAGGCATTCAAATCAATTCTTGAAGATAACTGCGCTTTTAACAACGCAGTTATCTTCAAGAATTCATTTGAATGCCTTCTCGATTGAAGTTTTAGCTGAAATTAGGTATGAGTAAATCAGACTTAATGAATAAGATGCTAAAAAAATTTCATCAAAAAATTCCGGGAACCAACCCAAATGGCGATGGCCGAACATAAACAAGGGCTTTTTGGTTATGACATGGGCTTATTATGTCAGTATTGACGAAGGGAGCCTCCCACAGTGGCCGACCGCATGCACATCTACGGAGCTTTAATTTATTCGCGAATATGATGACTCCTGTGATGATTGTGACAAAAAATTCCTCAACGATTCTCCTCCTAAATACCGACTCACGTGCTGCCGTGGTGGGAATTGGCAGCTCAAATAAATTCACAGCCTTAGGATTTTATTCGGTAAATAAATCAAGGATTTCTTTGCAGAATGCCATTCCAAATTAGTTTATAAGGAGTTTATAATTATCTTAAATTAACTTCTGGTGTAATATTTCGATACATTTTTTGTACTAACTTCTTAAATATGCTTTATTAGAGATTGCCGTATTAAATGTATTTGTCTCTTAATATTGAACTTTAACCGTGAAAAGTGTTATGGACTACTATTTGTGGAGTATTATTTTGAAATAATTACATAAATATGACCAAAATAAAGATGATTTACAAAAATATAATTCATTACTAGAATAATAATGAAATCATAGTAATTCATGTTCAAGTTTTGAACTTTAGTTACCACAGCACTCCGTTGTAGTAATGAATAATCATATTTATGTAAATAAGTTTTATTTTAGTAATATTCTCGCAAAAAACCCGATTCTCTAATATACAGGTTTTAATTTTAGTCCCCACCGATCATATATCAACCTCCATTTGACACAAACCTGACTAATACATTTCCTCTCATTTATCTCATGTCGTTAAGAAAACTAGACGATAAACCCGTGCGTTGCACGGGAAATCTAGGAACCCTTTGGTGATCCATATATGTTTACGTTTTATCAAACTTATCAATCATTTTAGTTTTTTCTCATATTTTGTATAATTTTTTCTGATACAAAGGGATTATAAGTTTTTGAGATAACAAAAATAACGAATGTTAGCAAAGTTTCATGAGACAGAATAATTGTAAGTTTTATGATTTTTAATTTATGAATGTAACTTTTCTAATTTGTAGTTACTAAGAGAAGTTGTTGTGTTCGTCATATTTTTATGAGAAAAATAATCAAAATACCTAAACTCTGAAGAAGTGTGAGATAAACACTCCAAAGTTTCATATGTAATTTATATACCCCAAACTTTATGTAAAAGTTATTTTAGCAATATGGTCCTATATTATTCCTTTCAAAAAATGTTATTTATGGCGTTAATTGTATAATTTAAAATAACAAATTGAAAATGTTGCAATTGTTCACTCTAGAGGGGGCATTATTATTTATTTTGCAATAGAAGTTTAGAATGTTAATTGTATTTTTTAGAATGCTAAAATATTTTAAATTCTGAAATTTACACAAAAAAATTAACCATTTTGAAAGAAATAATACATGACTGATGCTAAAAGAACTTTTACATAAAGGTTGGGGTATTTGAATTATATATGCAAGTTTGGGGTGCTTAATTCACACTCCTTTTAAAGTTTGAGGTATTTTAATTACTTTACCTTATTCTTATTGCTTATTATTTATTCTTATTTTATTCAGACCAGATCAAATAAGGAAGAATTCAAGTCAGATTAAATCGGAAAAATTAAGTTCACATGAGAAAGATTTAGATGTATAGTTATAGTTATAACTATAATTATAGTTATAAATTTAATCACAATAATAGTGATGATAATAACAAAAATAACCACAACAATAATAAACATTTAATTACATTAGCAATATTTAGATCTGATTGAGATTGATTCAGATCAAATAAAAAATATTCAAATTTGATCAGAAAGATTCAAATAAAAAAAAGTTTCTGATCAGCTCAAAAAACTCATATCATATGAAATATTAAAAATTCAAATAAAAACATTCCTATCCGGCTAATGGAATAACCTCTAAGAGTGTTTGCAAATACTTAAAAAAGCGATTCTCGACTTTTGGCTTAAAAAGCTAAAATTAGTGTTTCCAAATGACTTCTACTTAAATAAACGTTTCTCGACTTTTGACTGAAAACTGCACTTTACTTTTACTACTACACAAAAAGCGCATATTTTACCAAACACTGTCAACTTTTACTTTTCAAAAAACATTTTTTCTCTAAAGTGCTACTATCTTTTACTACTGATCACTTTTTCTAAAATAATTTAAAAAAGTGTTTTTTTTAAGCAAAAACATTTGAAAACATTTTTTAAAACTTCAAAAAAAGTATTCCACTAATTATTATCATACGGAGTACTAATTATTATTATACGGAGTACTCAATTAGTTTAAGTATTATCCAAATACTACTTTAGCAAATACTACGTATTATTGAAGTTAAAATGCTAATCAGCTACTCTGTAGTACGTATATCATCTATACCATTACTTTAACCGTTTAGCCATTATTCACGGCTTTATCCAGTACATTTTTATTATTCAAGTGCATTCATGAAGTATTAAGATATACAGTATATTTAATTGAGACAACAATTTTTCACATGTATTGGCTCCAAATAGATCTCACCTGAAATCCCACTATAGGATCTTTATATATATAAAGATATGTAACTTTGTTTTCTAGCTAGGTTCTTGTTAGTTTTTATTCTAAAATGTGAATGCTTAGTTTTATAACATTTTACTTTCAATATTATTCTAAGTGATGAAGTTAAAAGTTTTTATTACATTTAATTATGCAATAGACATTAATTTCTTCTAAGAAAATTCTACGGTATAACATATCAAGTGATAACAAACATTTCTTTTGCAAGACCTAAAATAAAATGTACCATATTCACCGGAACAAAAAACGCGTTTAAACTTTTTACTATGTATACTTTTCTAACCCGTCAAAAAAATTAGGAATAAGACTTATGATCTCTGTCCCAAATTGTTTTGCAAATCAACATTTTTCAGTCTACAAATAATAAGTTTAAATTCTTTCTATTGATAATTAATTAAATTTTAATAATTAAAATATACATATTCAAATATTACATTAAAATATCTATAAAGTTGCAAAATTGAAATTAAAATTAATTAAAAATTGATTTCCTAATTAAGTAAATAAAATGAATTTTTTTAACTAATAAGTCAATTTTGCAACTCAATTTGTGATGGAAGAAGTATAATTTATTTAGACAATAAAGAATTTAATTAAATTTGAAGTCACAATATTGAATTGTTCTAAAACTACGGTAGTAATTGATGAAACAATATCGAATTGAATTTTACTGAAAAATTGTGAATTGCTAATTTGCTATAGGCTGTCTAATTCCTAATTTCCTATAGGCTATAAGTCAAAAGTGAATTTTTGCATGAGCAGGA